CTACAAAGAAATTGAAGCAGCGATTAATTTTTTTAAGGACCGCTTCTTTGATGAGTACCTTGACAAACTGAAACGAAAGACTCTGTACTGGGGCACGCTCGACATGCTAATTCCTGTTCCACTGTATCGGATGTGAGAGAGAACAGCAGTGGAGTCGGATGTTTTCAAACGGCTTTAACGCTATCCCGTAAGAACAACTACAAACGTTGTTTTTTTTCCTGACACTGCATCTGAGAGTTCTGGTAAAAACATGGTTGGTGCAAAAGGTTTTTTTTTTTTGTACCGTTGCCTACGAATTGCCTGCGTTTTCCTTTTCCGGAAACTCTAGTACATGTTGTTCTATTTTGCACGAATTCATACTTTTTTGGGCAAAGTTGTGGGAGGCGCTAAAAGTTGATCAGTAGGTGTCGTGGCGAAGTGCAGTGTTTCTTAAGTGTGGGACAGGATGTGGAAGTCATGCCTTTGAGGCTCTGACATCCTTGGTTTGCACGCGTTGTGGAGGTCAAGAACGGATCACTTTTATGTTGTCGAAGGAGGGAAACCTGCGTGGAGGCATTTTTTGGATGGTTTTGTCTATGCCAGCTCGCTGATAGCGACTACAGAGCAGGAGGGGCTCGAGTGTTGGGAAACACTGAAGGCTCGGCTCGGAGTGCGCGGGTTTTCTGCCGTCACCAAGCCTCTGCATTTGCGTCCTTTATACTGCGGATTAGACACGTGAAATGTTGTGTCGCTTTGTGTTGCTTTGCACTCTGCACAGTGTGTTATGTTCTTTTGGGGTTCTACTGCACTTTGATTGCATGAGGAAGTGTGAACGAATTTTTAAACATGTATATAAAGCTTAATTAAAAAAAGAAAGAAAAAGTCTAGTCAGTAGCGTGTCTGGCTCGTAACCGAAGGGTCGTGGGTTAGAATCCTTCAAAACTTTCTTCACATTTTTCTGTAAGGCAAATGAATTACTTTATAATGTGAAATCATTTGAGACATGTGGCGACCTTTACTTCTCATTACATTTCACGTTTTTGAGCCACTTTCATTCCACGCGTGACGACATATTTTACGTGAGCGTTACGGCCGGTTGTTTAAAATTCCTGCGTCATGACCCTATCGAACAATCACGATATTTCCGGTCACAACGCCACTGATGCCGACGGTGGCTTTTTTGCTACACAAGCTCTTTAACACTATGCGTTAAATATTTTTACTTAGAGATAACGACGTTAGTCTAATTTTACTGTTTTATCAGCAAGAAAATTCAAAATATATATGCATGAACTCGAGCCCCCTTTTAATGTCCTCGGCATCTTTTAGCAAGTCCCCTGAGGTGTTTCTTTTTAAAACAGCAAAGCACGAGCCCAAGGCAAGAAACGGAGAAAAATTAGGTCACGCACGTTGTTTTTTAGGCTGCCAGTGAATAAGTAAATAAGTTACGGATTTATACGAGCTGAAAAGCTACGCATGTAAAGCTGTTATATGCTATTGTCTTGGGTTTCCAAATTTAGAACACATTTCAAAAATTACATCCTGCAACATCTGTGTTCTCTAAAGCAAATACGTCAATATATGGAACATTGTCGATAACATTAAATCATAGCTCCATGAAAGGCACTTCTTGCTCGCTCTATTATCTAAAAATAATTTTGACAGCACTTCCGTGCGATTTCAGTTTTACTATGAAGACTTGTATAGAAGTGGGCCGCGGTTTATTTAACTTTGAATCAATCAGCCTGCTCTGCAACGTCATTTTTTGTTGTGTTCCTATTTCTGGCGTAGCCCGACCCGGCTGCTCAAAAGTCGTTGCCGTGTTAACCGGCGCCTGCTCGCGTATGCCAGGTGGCCACGTGGTCGCAGGAGGAGGGCGTTACCGAGGACTCCCATTATTCGTCGCGTGGCGCGCACGGGCTTTTGGGATTTTTGCAAAGGGTCTATTACGGCACTTGCAAATGCAGTGTGCGCTCTACGCTAGAAAAGAAACCTTAAAGAACAAAGCAAGAAAGTCAAATCACTAGAAAATTCTGCATTACAAAGACCCGTCGCGCTAAGGGAAGCGTAACGAAAACGTTGGGAAGATTGTCTGCTAAAAGTGAGGCCTGGCTCGGCGACACCTGCAGGGAAGCTCGGCGCGTACCTTCGGCGCCTAGGGGAGGAAGGTGCCCATTGCCGATGGCTTGCCGTTCGCGAAGTAGTGTAACGCGCTTTGGGATTCGTGGGTTTTAAGTCGTTCTCAGGTATATGAACCAGGCGAGCGAAATAGGCAGTCTTGAAGATGCGCCCAAGGAGAGGTAGTCGTGAAGATGCGCCCCACCACAGATCTTTCAATTATTTGAAGAAAAAGTGCCCTTTCTTTTCATCCAAAGAATCAGAAAGGCATGACGATCCCATATAAGCAAATATCGCGAGGCACCGCAGTAGATCCTCGACGGTGAGACTTTGAAGGTGCTCGCTATACTCACCCAGGGTCCTCAAGAACAAGCAAAAACGATAACCCACCTTTGTCCATGTTTGGTTTTCTTTACCTCCGCACAACCTGTATACACTAACTAATGTTTGCACACAAACCGTAGCGCCCCTAGCGGCATGCCACCGCCACAGTGCATGCGCGATGAGGTGTGAGCTAGAAGCGCCCTCCCCCATCAAGGAACCATTAGAATGCGATGTTGTCAACGTTGGAATGAGTCCCCTCGCACTTTTCTGCATTGGAATTGTTGACTCTACGTCTTCCTAACAATGTCCAGCTATTGTAGTGGGCTCAGTTAAACTAAAAAGGCTGGTTACACCGAAAACGTTTGCGTGAATATAGGGACGTTCGGCGATTAATTCCACGTGGAAGCCGCAGAATGCATGGACGCTAAAGCCTAATTCCCATCATGAGATTCGGCTGGTTATTTTCAGTCACGAAGTCGGTCGGGCTGCAAAAGAAGCGTGGACGGTAGCTGCGATGCCCGCCGTTGCTACTGAAAATCGCAATCAGATTCGAACCATGTAAATCGGTCATAACGAATTTGGATGATGGACACCGGTAACAATGATAAACATTCACCCCGATCTACTTTTTACACGTAGCTACTTACCACAAAGAACATTCAACTTTAAGAGTTTTTTTTATTCCTGCACTTACTTATTTTATCTGTTAGCGCGTCAGCGTGTGGTCTGTGGGCCGTTGTTGTTTGAACAAGCATACCACAGCTTGAACAAGCAGACGAGTTTCAGAGAGCAAACGACGGTTTGAACGATGAAACGGTGGTTTGATCGTGAAGACGCATTAAACGAAAAGTAAACGTTGTTCTGAAAAAAAACGTTACGGTGGTTCGAAACACTTGACGTTCTTTTCGCGTTCATTTTGTTACAAAACAAACAAATCGGATGGCTATAAATATCCGTGAATTCCAACCAAAGTTCTTCCCAATCGTGGAAATACGGCGCCTAGTTTTCCCTCTTCGCGGCACCCATCTACGTTCTCTGACGAACGGGGCAGGAACAGAACACGTCAAAAGTTATCTTGGCACTTTTTCCGACTCCTTTGGTGCAGCTCTAATCACGGCATTTTCATAATAAGGCTAGTTTTAAAGTCCCTTTAAACAAAATGAGTTAATTCCGTGCCAGCAAGGCGTCTTCTGCTCAGAACGGGACACCAGAACAGAAGTACGCCCGAAGCGCCCCTATCATGACGTTACGTAGGATAGTTCACGGTGAATATAATCTACAAATATTCCACAACATTCTAATACAATTCGCACAAGATTCCCGGGTTATGTTGCGGAAGCTTAATTATTTGTGTCACGAAACTGGCAAACATTTCACACTCTAAAAGCTTTGCTCCAGCTGACCTTCCTTTTTCCACCACCTGATTCACTTTTGAAGGATAAAACTTTCCCAAACAATAATGATGTGAAAAACATATTTTATTGGTTATATATCAATGAACTCCAGTTATGCATTAAAATAATTTATGAACTTATTTCACGTTAGCTACGTTCGTCTAGAAAACAAGTCTCGAAACCCCGGCCCGCCGACCAGATCCGGCCCCCGGAAGTCTCCCCACCGTCCCGCGGCTGGCCCCAGTCCTTCCAATGAAGCTCGGTTTGCGGCTCACTTCCAGTAGACCCGCTAATATACCGGCACAAAATGAAGTGCATGTAAACAAACGGCGCAGCGGAGCGCTCCGAATGCGCCAACGAACATACCCAAAAGAACGAGTTCAACTGCATTGTAGGGCGGGTCCTCCCGGCCCAATATTTATTGAACATTATCACCGGCGTCACCATTAGTCCCCTGCTTTATGTCTCCGCAGCATGCTAAAACCCTTTGCATGTTTAAATACATTGTGCTTAGTGTTTTGTTTTATCAGAATTACTACATATTGTCACAATTTTTTTTTATCATTTTCATTTGTCTTTTATACCGAACGAACGTGCCAAATTTCCAATGCGTTTTGCTTTATGCCTGGTGAATTTTCCTGCTCACAAGATTTTTTTTAATGTCCGAACTAGTTAAATAATGAATTTCCAACTGAAGTGTTTAAGTATTCGCCTTCGACCACGCTAATGATATTTTAATACTTACTCTAATAATAATGTTTGTGTTGAAATGTTTATCTATGTTTATTTATTACGTTTTGAGCCTTAGCCAAAAAGTTTGAAGACCTAAATCAAATTTGGGGGTTTTACGTGCCAAACCTACGACGGGCATCTGGCACGCCCCAGCGGAGGACTGAGGATTAATTTGGACCACCTGGGGATCTTTTGACGTGCAACCGAAAGCTCGGTTACACGGCGCCTTCTCGGCAATAGTTTGAAGACCTAGGGCTAGAGCATAACTAAGATTATTTTGTTTAAATACGTTGAATGACAGCCGTATTATATAAAAAAATATTTGCTCCTAATCTGGCGACATCTTTCAAATGATCCAAAATAAATCTATTTTCTTAAGTATTCACGGCACGTTTTAGCAATATGAAGCTACGAGCCATGCCTCGTAAATCGTGGGAAAAACATATTTTTCAGGGTGCGTTTTCCTCGCTCTATCGTCAAGAAACTGTGTGCCAGAAGATGAACCGGGAGGCTGCCAGTATGAAGCCTACGAAACTTCCATTCCTGAAAAGTGCCTTCAATACACATTGGTAATACATATACCCTAAAGCGCCGTTCGCACTCTTGCGACCGAGTAAGACCGAGAGAGACCAGACCGATTTTAAAGCTTCTTGCGACTTCTTAGGACCAGCTCCGCTGCAGCGGAGCTGGTCCTAAGAGATCGCAAAAGGCTTAAAAACCGGTTTGGTCTCTCTCAGTCGTACTCGGTTGCAAGAGTGTGAACGGGCCTTAACTCAGAAAAAGGCGTAGTTGTTCGGACTGGCGTTGTTCTCACCTATGACACTAAAATCGAAAATATCTAAACCTTCTTTCGCAACATGGGTTATTCAGTTGAATAGTATCATGCAGGCAAATATTACCTCGTTTGACTCACTACGGTGGATTTATGTTTCACATCACATAAAACACATAATAAAGCATACACTCTAAAAAAAGCCCGTGCACCTACTTTCTCGCACAACCCTCGGAGAGCAAATCACCTCACCTTACGGAGGCAGCTCGGCGAATGACGATGCCGAAACATATGTTTAGACCAAAACACGCATGTCTGAGCAGTGACATTAAGCAATGCAAAACGTCACGCTTGCATTGCTTAATGCCGCAACTAAGACTGCGTTTTTCGGCCTAAGCATATGTTTCGGCATCGTCATTTGCTGGGTTGTCTCCGTAACTTGCGGCGATTGGGTCTCCGAGCGTTGTTCGGGAAAGTAACCGCACGGGCTTTTTTAAAGTGTAGTTGCCTAGGTGTAAACTCAGGTAGCCTGTTCCAATATGGCCGTAACTAATTGTTCGATGCTTTAAAATTACATATATGTATATATATCATCTGATACACGATTTCTCACGGGTGTCTTTCTGCAGTGAGTTTTGTAAAACATCGGTCGTATCCGCATTAAACACACTTTTTGCATTTTACTGTCCTCGCGAAGTAGTGCTTCAAGTAAACTTAGCTCCAGTTTCAAGTGGCAAAAAATAATTGGAAAGACAAAAATCTCCATACCACGCCAATTAGCGAAATAAAAAAGTATATATTTGTACAGAAATTGTTTTTTTCGGAACTACACTAATTTTAGCAGTAAAGACAACATAAAAAAATCTTAAATTGCTGTTTGTGTGTTTGTTCCGGGCGAGTTGGCCAAATAATGAATTGGGGTAAAAAATTACCCCTACCTGCATACGCAGGAGTTGTATATACTATTTACACATAGGCGGGCTCTAATCGAGAAAGAAGTGTCTTGGATAAAATCACAAATCCTCAGCGCAAGCTATCTTTTTACCTGGCGTCGGTGGCCGAGTGGGATAGCGCACACCAGCTCGGAGCACGTGGAGCGAAATCTCGCGCTGCAGAACCCAGGACCCCAACCCCTGCCCGTTTCGATCTGGATGAGCATCGTACCGGCGTGCGGTCGTGTATCACTACTGCGTGATGCACGTTAAAGTCCCCAGGCTAGAGGTTGTACTGCACTTGCGAAATTGCTCATCTACAGCTGGGAGACTCGTCGCCCGTTGAGGCAGACTAAGTTCTAGGCTGTATAAGCATACACACAACTCAATTTTTTATTTAACCTTGTAGTAGGTAACAGGTTACAAAAACAGACTTCTACGGTACTTAATACAACTGTTTAAATTACTTGTAGACGAATACTTTTAGTGCTATAACCTTAGAACGCTCGCTTTCACAAAAACTCGCCGGTGTCAGTCCACGCGTCCGTTTGTTAACGACATGCATGACGTCGCGAGAACAGTGTGTGTGTGTGGGGGGGGGGGGGGGGGGGGGAGGGTGAGGGGGTATCGTGCTTACAGATTCAATGTACAACACCTCCTAAGGGCTAACGCTATAGAGCTCTTCTCGTCACGTCGCAAAGGAAGGCCATCGGGGGCGCGCGTCGGAGCGCCGAACCGAATGCAAAGTGCATGAATCGTCAGGTTGTAACAACGCGCTTTTAGTGACATAAGCGTATATTATTACCTCAAATGAAAGCTGCACAGAAAGACGGGGCTAATATACATTTTATCGCACATATAAAAAAATTATACCTCTAAATAATCGATATGAAATTTCAATGGGTATGCTGTAAGACGTCTACAGAAAACAAATTGCTTAAGTTGAAAACATTGAGCCACGCAATCATTGCTCTCGGAATGCATATTTCATACCGAATCACTTCCACAAAGTGGCGAGACACACGTTGATTTTGCGCAGCAAAACAGATCACAGTAAAAATCGGGTAGATATACTCAACGCAAACAGGGCTAGACAATTTTCACTTACAATCACGTAAGCGATGTTAGCGCATGCAGTCACTGGATGCTTGCATTATACCCCGTTCACACGGCAAAATAAACGTAATTCCGATCGAATGACATTATTGAGTCCGCTAATAAGTTCGCGACACTCGTATAGTCACTTCAGGATCACGAGCTGATTCAATCCCATAATATAATTTAATAAAAAGATAGTCACTACTCTGTGTGGCATGGGTACTAAACCTACTATATACTGTCACGAATGACAGGCAAGGAAACAAAGAAAAACTGGGGAAACTGAAACGTTTAATGGGTTGAACTTGTGATAAAAAATAAAAAAGACACATAAGCTAACAGCAGAGCGTCGCGGGCGTCGAAGTCGGCGGAACAGCAGAGTCGAACGCTGGGGCGAGACTGCCTCCGTATCGCCCACACGAGGCTCCTTTTTTACACGCATGAACTTCTGGAACAATCATCCTAGAAGATTCGGCGCGTAGAACATTCTAACCTAAAACAAGCAACACGGTTCTTGAAATTATTAGAAATCTAAATTGAAAGAAATACTAAAAGCCACGGTGCTCTCAGGAATCGAACCCTGCGCTACCGCACGAGAGTCAAGTGCGGTAACCACTGGGCCACGCACGCGCTCGCGCGCCGACGCGCGTGGCATTACTCCCCCCTTAAGAGCGCATCGTCCCGATGCCATATGACAGGCAACAAAACAGAGCAAGACAAACAGAAGAATGGGATAATACGGAAGCTGGCAGAACACAATCCTATCAAGCGTTGCGCAAGATCACAGTTCACAGTCTTATCGCGCGTAGTACGGCTTGATGCGCACGACGTGGACGACTTCCGGTCGTGGAGGGCGGCTTGACGAAGTCCGTGTTCCGTCGCGCATCACCTCGTAGTTCAGATTCCCGAGTCGACGGAGCACTTTGTAGAGCCCGAAGTAGAGCTTCAGGAGATTCTCGCTTAGACCGCGTCGACTCATCGGGGTCCAAGCCCACACACGGTCTCCTGGCTTGAAGCGAACGTCGATCCGGCGAAGGTTGTACCGGCTAGCGTGGACACGTTGTTGATCTTGAATTCGGAGTCGGGCGAGCTGGCCAACTTCTTCGGCTCAATAAGCAACCAGCTGGGCGTCGGGGAGCCCATCTTCAGATGGTTCGTGGGGCAGCATTGCGTCGAGCATGGTCGTTACTTTTATGACATGCACCAGCTGAAACGGGGTTACTCCTGTCGTCTCTTGCACCGCCGTGTTGTAAGCAAACATGACGTAGGGTAACACCTCGTCCCAGGCCTTGTGCTCTACGTCGGCCTACATGGAGATCATGTCGGCGATAGTTTTGTTTAGCCGTTCTGTCAGTCTGTAGAGAAAGACAGATGAAAAGCGACTACGTCTTACGAATTCCAAAATCAAACTGATCTGGCTTTTTTAATTGCACGCGATCTTCTTTTTTTTCCCAGCGACTATCGCCTCATAGCCGACGGAGTCGTCCCAGTGAACTGTCCTGGTGTGTTTGATGCGGGTCGCGGGTGCTACTGTGGAGCTCGAGGTGGCTTGCACGCTGGGAAGATCAGCCGGCTGAGTGATTGTATCGCTTTCAACAAATACCGGCTTGAGGCGGTCAACGGGCACGACCGTATCACGGCCATTAACCCGCAGCGGGAATGTTTTTTCGCCACGTGCAAGGACGAGGTGGGGACCAGTGTAAGGTGGCTGGAGCGAACGGCGGACGCTGTCGACGCGCAAAAACACGTAGCCACTGTTGTGCAGGTCGCGATGGAAGAAAAGAGACTTGCTCTGGCGTGTCCGCGCCAGTGTAGCGCGCACGTCACCAAATAGACTGGCTAAGTCCTCCACGTAAGGCACTCCTGCAGTCACCGTGAGGCCGCCGTGGATGGGAGTGGTAGGGCTGACCAATTCCGCTGGGAGGCGCAGCGATGTTCCAACAAACTAAATGTGATGCGGCACATCCGACGTCTTCCTTTATGGCTCTGCGCAACCCTAGGAAGACGATGGGTGGAGACGTGGCCCATTTATCTGATGTGGCGTGGGCCATGAGGGAAGCCTTGAGATGGCGATGGAACCGCCCGACCAAACCATTCGCCTGCGGGTGGTAGGCTGTGGTCTTCAGGTGAGCGATGCCAAGAAGAGTTGTCAAGCTTCGGAAAAGGGCCGACTCGAATTGACGTCCGCGATCGGTCACGACTTCGGCGGGAACTCCAAAGCGGGAGATCCAGGTGGACAGAAGCGCAGAGGCGACAGTCTCGGCAGTGATGTTTTTGATGGGACAAGCCTCCGGCCAGCGCTTAAAACTGTCGATGACGGTTAGGAGGTACCGGTAGCCCTGCGATGACGGTAGGGGTCCGATGATGTCCACGTGAATAGTGGAAAAGCGTGTGTCGGGGAGTGCAAACTTTGCCAGAGGCGTAATGGTGTGCCGGGACACCTTACTCTGCTGACAAGCAATGCATGCTCGTGCTCACGCGCGGACATCAGTGTTCATGCCAGGCCAGCAAAATCGTTCCGCGATTAAATTTTGAGAAGCGCGGATGCCTGGGTGTGAGAGAGCATGAAGGTTGTTGAAGATCTGACGCCGAGGTGGTAAGGGCAGATAAGGCCGTTTCTGAGCGGTCGCCGGTTCCACGTCGCAAACGATGTTTGTGCCCAAGTCAGAAAAGTTAACGTCCTCAAGATGGAGAAAGGAGGTTGGGGAAGAGCGAAGGTTGCGGAGCTCTTCGTCACTCTCCCGTAGATCAGGGAGTTGTCTAAGGT